ATTTTTTTTTAATTTTTTATTATTATACTTAAGTTCTAGGTACATGTGCATAACGGCAGGTTTGCACTCCAGCCTGGGCGACAGAGCCAGACTTTGTCTCAAAAAAATAAAATAAGTGAATAAAACATAAACAATAAAACCTATCTATACCAAATCTCTAGATATTAAATTTTTACAGTTACCACTTTATAAAGTAGTATGTCCTTATATAATGTCCTTAAACTTTTCTTCATTCAAATCGCTGTGTAAAGTTATATTCTTATGTTACTTTCTTTGAGAGTACCAATTTCATGCACCAGTTTTTATTTTGCCACAATCATAGGGGCTCTGCTTCCATCTCATTTTGCTGTAGGTTATTGCTGTACTGATCTTGTTGGTCTTATGCAGAAGTTCTTCCTGTTCCCTGAAGATCACAGTTCCTCATATCTGGACTTTTCTACCAGGTCCCGTAATGTCATGATTGTTAACTAATGAAAACTGCACAAGTAGTTCATGCTCTGATCAACTATGGTTTTATAAAAGATGAAATTATATTTATGTCCATATTGTATGTTCATACAGTAACAAATTCTCAAAGCAGAAAAAGGTATTAGATACTGTATTACCTTTATTCCTTATATTTTTATAGTTAATTTAGTTATAATTTAGAAAGTACTTTCACATTAGCCCATTTATCTTTACTACTATATTAGTTAGGTGGGGAAGACATAATTATTCCTATTTTACAGATCAAAAAAAAAAGATCCTATGACACCTCTGATGTCATGTTGATACTTAGACCTAAAGCCAGAAAGTGGTATTCCTCAACCACTGCACATCTCTAAGACACCCTGCCACCAAGGCTCTGTTACTTTCTATTTGTTCTACACTTGTGGGACAACTATAAAATATTAAAACTAAATAAACTTAGCTTCTGCTAATGAATGCATTATTAGGAATCTTTATACACAGTACTAGTGCCTTTGTTAAATATTGTCACAGGATCCCTAGGGTGACACCTCGCCAGCCAGAAACCTCTGTAGCTGGCGGCATCTTCTGCCTGAGTATTGCTTGTGCCTGCTGGGCTAGTTCTCCCACTTGGTCTGGCAGGCTGTGCTTGGCTCTTACTACCGGCTCAGATCCCACATCTGCCAAGCGCAAGCCAGGTGCAGAATGGCGAGGGGTGTGTGGTTGAGTGAGCGCGAGGTCCAGCCACTGTGCACAGCCAGGCATGCTGGCTGCTGTGGCGGGGCAGGGAGCTCCAGGTGCTGGCTCTGTGTGAGGCTGCGGCTGGATGCGATATACTTCATGTGGCTTCTGCTGTGGGCACCCGAGTCTGGACTAGGGAAACACAGTGGTGCCTGGAAGCTTGGAAACTCCAGGAACTGCAGAACCCCAAGGAGGGTGTCACAGCCCTGGCTCAGGGATTCTCTACATCTGGGCTCCCCAAAGGGCTGCAGCTGTTCTTGGCTTGTCACCCTCAATGTGGTGAGCAGGGGACAGGGGTGTGTTTCAGCCCTTATTGTGTTACAGTTCTTTTAGTCCTGCCACTCAGCAGGTCCTGAGTTCTTATCCCACATTCAGGAGGAATGAGGTACACAGACAACTGGAGGGTAAGCAAGGTGGAGAGGAGCTTCACTGAGTGACAGAACAGATCTCAGGAGACCCACAGTGGGTAGCTCCTATCCGCAGGCAGATTGTCCCACCGTCTCTACAGCCCTCAGTGGAGAGGAGACTCAGAGTGGGCAGCTCCTAGCCGCAGGCAGGTCGTATTGGCAGGTAGGCTGTCTCACTGTCTGCCTGAGTCTGGCTGAGTCCAGGGTTTTATGGGCTAAACAGGGGAGGAAGTGTGTACTGACTGGTTCATGGGTAGCCATGGGCAGTCCTGGAAAAAGCACCATAAGTTCTCACTCTGGTCCATAGAACTGACAGCCCAGCCCCCAGTCTACAGGTTTGAAGGTGGGGTTTTACCAGGGACCTGTTCCCTTTCTGCCCAGGAGCCTGTCTACCTCCTGCCACCATCAACGTGCCATCCATGGTGCCCACAGTGCCCAAGCTATTCTTGCCAAGGGGTGCCTGCAGGTTGTGCTAAGCTGCCCTCAGCTCCCCTCAGCCTTCCTCCCATGCTTGTCAGCACCCAAAGTTTGGAGTGGGCCAAGGCAGCAGAGGGCTGGCATGTCAGCACTGCCCTGAGAATGTGCACACCTGGCTGGGTTGTGACAATGCCTGGGCTTGGCCTCAACTTTGCTCTGAAATTGGAGTGGGTGCCAGGAGCACAGAGAGGCCCAGCAGCAGGAGTGGGCGTTTCTGAGCCTTCAGGGGCAAGGGGGCTTCCACAGTCCCCAAGAGTACAGGGATGTCCAGGTCCGCAGCCATGGCTGGATGGCTGCAAGTTTGCCTGGGTGGGCAGGGCTCCCACCCCGTCAACTTGGAAGCGGGCAGGGCTCCTGCCTGTTCCTGGCTCTCACCTGCTCTGTGGAGTGTGCAGCCCTGGCTACGCCTCCCCGACTGCAGCTGGCTTCATAGTAGCAGCCGCTACAGATGGGCCGCAGCTGTCATAAATATGACTTTTGTCAAATCTGATACTTTTGAGACATATTTTCATTATCTATGTACTAAACAGTGAAAGCATGGCAAAGTCTATTTAGTCATGAGTCTTCGAATTTGCTTTTATTGTATAGTCTTCATTTTCTTCCTTTGCACATCCGTAGTTTTCAGCAAGGAGATACTTAGCAAAATCCTTATTTAAAATTGATTAATACAGAAATATATTTCCTCTAATATTTCTGAGACAGGAGGAAGTTACTTTTAAGAAGAGACCTTAGACAAAATTACCAGACATTTCTTTTGGCATTAGAGTTCCTTACCTCCAAAAAGATGAAATGCTTTTCTGCAGCTTGGTAGGGGCCATTTTGCAGAGTTGGATTTCTGAAAGCTTTGTTTTATTTTCAAATATTCTTTAGTAAAGAATGTTTTTGTGGCATTGTTCAGTTCTAGAATAAAGCAAAAAAAAAAATAGGATTTTGAAACCAATTTGAGTAAAATGGCAAGAAAATGACAAGTGAATACTGTAGTATTTTGATACTATTTGATACAATTCAGACCTCTTTAAGTCAGTGAAGACAAAAGTAGATTCAACTTTTTTTTTTTTTACTCAAGCAAATACAATTTCCCCAAGTTCACATTTGGTGCAACTCTGACATGCCTACACATAGAACATAAATCTACTGAGTAGCTCCTATGTCAAGTACTAGGGAGTATATAATGATAAATAAGACATTGTCCCTGACCTTAAAACAACTGTAGTCTAAAACAGTGGTCCCCAACCCCTGGGCCACAAATGGGTAGCAGTCCATGGCCTGTTAGGAACTGGGCCACACAGCAGGAGGTGAGCCATGGGCAAGTGAGCATTGCTGCCTGAGCTCTGCCTTCTGTCAGATCAGTGGCAGCATTAGATTCTCATAGGAAGTGAACCCTATTGTGAACTGCACATGCAAGGAATATAGGTTGCACTCCTTATAAGAATCTAACAAATGCGCCTGTAATCCCAGCACTTTGGGATGCTGAGGTCAGGAGTTCAAGACCAGCCTGGCCAACATGGTGGAACCCCATCTCTACTAAAAATACAAAAATTAGCTGGGCGTGGTGGCGGGCACCTGTAGTCCCAGCTACTTGGAAGGCTGAGGCAGGAGAATTGCTTGAACCTGGGAAGTGGAGGTTGCAGTGAGCTGAGCTGAGATGGCACCATTGCACTCGAGCCTGGGTGAAGAATTGAGACTATGTCTCAAAAGAAAAAAAAAAAATCTAACGAATGCACAATAATCTGAGGTGGAAAAGTTTCATCCTGAAACCATTCCCCGCTCAATCCTTGGAAAAGCTGTCTTCCACAAAACGGGTCCTTTATGCCAAAAAGGTTGTGGACTGGTGGTCTAAAAGAAATACACAGGTAGACAGAAAAGGGGAATAATGTGTTATGAGTGTAGCAATAGAATAGCTAGAGTGTAATCTGGGCTCAGGAGTGACAGTGAAAAGGAAAAACACTTATAGAACTTTAAACTTCATAATCTATTTCAATCTATATGTGATGGGTTGACCACCTGAGTCTATTGCTATATACTTGAGGTAATTTTAAAAATGTGAAAATAACCATTCAGAAGCTTACTAATGAGTTAAAAAGGAAATAGTCATTTGAAGTACACACAGCCCAACTGGAGAACACATATGATGGTATTCACTTTAAATGGTAGAAACTCTTTATATCTGAGCCATAGAAAGCAACGCATGATCTGAGTTGGACCGTTTAATGGAGAACAACCTCTTTGGCTGGTGCAGAGCTAGTTACTAACCTGAGAAGTAAACTAGGTTTTCCATCAACCATCCCCTCTTACTTTCATCCCGCAATGATCACCTGTAGCATTTCCTCAGTTTCCATCCTACTTCACTGCCTTGAGCTTTGGGCTCAAGTGATTTGAATTAAATTTTCCCAGTTTTTCTTAATCACTGCCTTGGGTTGATTTTTACCTAAGAAATTTAAAGGGAAAACTGATTCACAAAGTTTACAATTAACAACAAAAGGGAAAATGTGAAAAATACACTACTCTAGGCAACTGAAGTTATCTATTAACCCTGCAACTCTAACTGCCTTCCCAATCGCACACCCACGAACCAGCATACAAGTTAGAGAAAAGGTATTTTCATGCTCATCATGTATGCTGGAGGTTGATATGACTGTAGTGCATTTAAAAATCCTTCATATGTTTAAGAGTTAAATCATTTCAAGTTAGATATTCTCTCAACGGTTTCTGCAGCAATGCATAGCTGTTTTATTAAAGTCCACTTAATCCAGTCTGTCACTGATGGACATTTGGGTTGATTCCAAGTCTTTGCTATTGTGAATAGTGCCGCAATAAACATACGTGTGCATGTGTCTTTATAGCAGCATGATTTATAATCCTTTGGGTATATACCCAGTAATGGGATGGCTGGGTCATATGGTACATCTAGTTCTAGATCTTTGAGGAATCACCACACTGTTTTCCATAATGGTTGAACTAGTTTACAATCCCACCAACAGTGTAAAAGTGTTCCTATTTCTCCACATTCTCTCCAGCACCTGTTGGATTAAGAAAATGTGGCACATATACACCATGGAATACTATGCAGCCATAAAAAAGGATGAGTTTGTGTCCTTTGTAGGGACATGGATGCAGCTGGAAACCATCATTCTTAGCAAACTATCACAAGAACAGAAAACCAAACACCGCATGTTCTCACTCATAGGTGGGAACTGAACAATGAGATCACTTGGACTCGGGAAGGGGAACATCACACACCAGGGCCTATCATGGGGAGGGGGGAGGGGGAAGGGATTGCATTGGGAGTTATACCTGATGTAAATGACGAGTTGATGAGTGCAGCAAGTATACATATGTAACAAACCTGCACGTTATGCACATGTACCCTAGAACTTAAAGTATAATAATAATAAATAAATAAATTAAAAAAAAAATAAAGTCCACTTTTCCCACTGCCCATTTACAGCCCTTTAGTGTAAGATGCTTATGGCACTATCACTTGGTTAAAGGGGCTTGTCAGTGTCATTCATATTGATGAAGAAAATGAAAGAAGTTATCAAATAACATTCATTTACAGTAATATGGTCTTTTTCTTAGGGCTTAACAACTAAGATTCAGGGTATTTTCTGAGAGGTTAAAAATCCCCCCAAATAAGTGGTATTGTATTAACTCTTGGGAAAATTGACTCACAACTTTCTAAATGCCCTTGGAAATGAGACCCATGTGGTGTGTCATATGGCAGATAATGCAAACGAAGGTGAAGAGTCTGCAACTTAGGGATTCTTATTATTCCTTCCCTTCCCTTCCTTTTCCTCTCCCTCTTCCTCCTCCTTCCAGAAAATTGGTAGCTATGTTCTAAAATGTTGAGCAATAACTGGAGAATCCCATTGCATTACCCTCTCTTATACTGAGAACTTATTTGGAAATGTAATTGAATTCTAGTACAGCAGATCAAAAGGACATTGTAAAAGTCATCTAATACCTGCAGTTTTGATAACTGGCCACAAACTTTCTAGGGGGTAGATGAGAGAAGTGAAAGTAATAATGATGTCCATGACATTTTGTTGCCTGTCTTCAAGGAACTTAACTACACAATGTACTTTTAAGCTACTTAAACTCGTATATTAAAGCACTGAAGCAGGCAAGGGTTAGAAATATTTTTATAACACCTATTAGAGAAGCTGCTATATTGAAATTTGCAAGATGAGATGGGAATCGTACCTGCAACATACCGTTGAACATATACGCCTGCATGTGCTTACTATAACCTTATGAGACCAATTTTGGATGATCTAATATACTATATTTGTTTGGAAAGATGGTTAAAAGGATCCAGAAGCCCTTGTCCCTCCATTGCTGGGCCAAATAAGAAGTGGTTTCCAAAGCTTCTTAACTGGAGGGCCTTCCACAAGTCACAGAACTTCTCTTTGTACCAACTTCCTGCTGTATCTCCTGCAAACATTTATCTTGCACCTGCTATATGCATGGCACTTTGCTGATCCAGCTAGGAATACAGAGATGAATTAAATGTAATTGCTGTCTGTAGGGCATTGTACTAGATCAGCGATTCCAGAATGTTTGGCTGGATATCAAAATCACCTAGGGTGCTTGTTAAAATGACAAATTCTAGCACCTCACCCAGACATGTGCAAGCACAATTGCTGTGTATTTGACCTGGGAGTCTATGCTTTCTAACAAGCTGCTTGGGTGATTCTGATGCACAGATAGATTTGATAACAACTAGATGAAATGGTCCTTTTCTGTAATTAAATTATTTGAATTTATTTAAATATGTTAAGGTTTATCTCATTCCATTATAAAACTTTACTAACCTTATCCAAGGATATTGTTCTTTCTGTAGCTCTGTGTTGCCCCATTCCAGTGACATTTGAATTTGGAAATGTAGAATTTGGCAACAAATACAATATTCAATACTACACTTCCTAAAATTACCTGGAAGAAACATTAAGAAAAATCTGAAGGCAGACTAAGATGTACAGCTTGGAGTAAAAGGTGATGAAAACTATCTTTATCTCCTCCTCAGCCGATGCTACCTATTAGGCTGTCGATGCTTATTTAAACACATAATTTATTGCATTTAATCAGTATTTAATATTGTTGAGTATGCTAGAAAAAGACAAAAAAACAATATCCTGGAAAGATCTCAAGTGTATTTCTTTTTCTTTTTCTTTTATTTATTTATTTATTTTTTATTATTATTATACTTTAAGTTCTAGGGTACATGTGCATAACGTGCAGGTTTGTTTGATCTCAAGTGTATTGCAATTATACATTTAGTTAAATGTGGTTGTAGTGGCCGTGGAAACAGCAGCATTTTTGTGTGACACTATCAAGTGACTGTTAGAATAAAAGAATTCTAGTCTTAATTTTCCTGAGGGCAGGAGGCAATCACCAACTACATAAGATCAGAATTCACATTATTACAGGATGTATTACCATAAGGTTTCATGGTATTATATCACAATCTAAAAAAGAACGACCACACATATTAGGATAACTTTAAACCACAGACTTCATCAATATGGTGGTGCAACTTCGATTTCAGCATTATGCTTAAATTTTGGTAACTTTTTATGTAAACAATTCATTATAATTAAGTAAATATGTTAAGAATAGTTTTAGGCATTCTGCTAAATGCAGGAGTTAAAGCTGTATGATAGGTAAAGTATTATTAAATCCTATCTAGTAAAAAGATAATTCTAAAGTTACAAGTGTTTTGATAAGTTTATTCAGGGTGCCCTAGTCTTATTCAGGAGGGGAAGATAAGAACATTATTATAAATATAAGGCACAGTCATTTAAGTGGACCTAATAGTATTATGTTCAAATGTAAAAGACTAGGAGATGTATGTCTAGCCATCTCATTCAGATTACTGACGGCCTTGTTTACCCATTTAA